CCGATTTCATTCCAATTCTTAGAGAGATATTGGAAAAATAATCTTTACAAAAGTATTGTTACATTTAAATGATTTGAATTCCATTCCAAATAGCTGATTTTCTAAAATTACTATGAAGGTAAAATACTTCACAAAACTTTTACCATAAAAGAAAAAGATGATGATAAAATCAAAATGATTTTAATGTAAATACATTCGGTTTGTATCTAATAAATCTCCTAAAAAAATTGGTAACATAATAGCTACCACTGCCATACGTAAATGCAATCTGCATTCCGTTTTTAAAGGCACCTACAATGAATGCAATTAATGCTTTTTTTATTTAAAATAAATTTTAAAAAAATTATCATTTTTAGTATGTAATTCAAGTTTTTATAAGGAAAGACTTTCCATTGTTTTAAACACATACTTAAAATCTACTTATTTTATTCAACAAATCAAATCCAATTAAACATTACTCATTTCCAGTCGCTGCCAATCCATTCAAGATTTCTAAACTTTTATAAAAAAAAAATTAGAGATAATCAAAATTTCATAAATTGAATAAATACAAATAGATTGTGTGTCAATATTTTAACTTTCCGCAAAGATTGGTGTCAATTAATCAACTACTAATAACATCTTCAATAGTGGAAGTGCATTGTAGTGCAATGAAATAGATGTCCTTCTGTCCATGTGGACATAATAGACTGTCATGTTCATAAACAACTCTCCAATGATAAATGTCTATACATATGATTTTTTTTCTTTTGGTTGTTCTAGAAAAAGGCAAAAAACTTGCAGGAAAAATACGAACAAACTTTGAACCAACATTAAAACATAATATTTTTGATAATTTTTTTTCCTTTTGTTGTTCTAAAGAAAGGCAAAGCCGAACAAATTTTGAACCATCATGAATATTTTCAACAATATATATATATATATAGATATATATGTATGTATATGTATGTAGAGAGAGAGAGAGAAAGTTAGGATCATGTGAGAATGGTAGATAGTGAAAGAAATAAGAATGAATTTGGACCATTAGATCTAACATATAGGTTATGATGAAGTCAAAATTTAAATATTGAAGTCAAACAAACAATGGCAATCATGTAAATATGTGTATATTTCGTGGTGAAATATACACATTTAACCACTAAATAAGGACAAATCAGTAATTACACACTCATTTACATTACATGTGGGTCCCACGACTCCCACCACCAACCACCAAACGCCTCTTTTTCTCTCACCTACCCACACATACATGTTCCATTTTCTTGCCGCCTGCATAATTTCCTACTGCCGCTCGCCACCGCTTGACGCCGCCCGCCACTACCCGCTGCAGCCGTTCGCCGCCCACTGCAGCCCTCCGCCGCACGAATTAGCCATTGCGGCCGACAGCCCCACAACCGGTACAGCCGTTGAATCCAATAGCCCCGCCATCAATAACAGCCCGCCACTGCCGGAACCATTCCAAAACTGGCCGCCTCAGCCGCCGCCCTTGCCCTAATCGTGTTCAACAGCAAATTTTTCTGGCGAACAGGAAGAACGGCGTCGCCGTCTAGCGGATGGATCTCGTCGCCGGTACCACCACGCCGAAGCCGTTGCCCATTCTAAACTCGCCGCCGATGATCGGAAAGGTCAGGGGCCGCCGGCGAGGACGAAGACACGGGGGACGATGAGGACCCACACAGTTGCAGCAGGACATGGCACCGAACGCGGGTCGGATGTGGTGACGACGAGCAGCACGGTGTTCGCCGGCGTTTGTGACGGTATCTGGCAGCGGCCGAGCGGCGACGCTGAACTTTGATGGTGACTCTGTGTGTTTTGTTAGGGCTGGGTCATGATATGGAAATTAGAAATGTTCATAGGGCTAATATGCAATTTATGAACTTTTGTTATATTTGTACATTAGTACATGAGATAGATGTTTGTCCCACTTTTGTTGCATTTTTCGTCATTATTTTTCTTTTCTTTTTCCCCCATATTAGGTTTTTTAGTTGGTTTTTAGTTCGTTTTGTAGTTTATTTCATGGTTCACTCTATTTTAGTCTTTCGTGTGCTTTCCGTGTATTTTATCGATTTTTATTTGTTTATGATGTGTAGTTCGGAAGCCTCGGGAGGACCAGATTTCAGGTGAAAGTTAGTCGGGCAAGCTTAATTAAATAGAGGAGTTCATTGGGAACACACATGAAAAAAGGGAATCGAATTCCGACTTGAAACGAACCCAAACGAACCCGAGAAGCAAAGTCCTGCAGGCTGCCAGAGCCTTAGCGCCGCTAAGGCACACAGGATAGCGGCGCTACACGGTACTGGCTCGAAGACACCTTAGCGGCGCTAAGGCACCTTAGCGCCGCTAAGGTCTGTTTTAAGCAGACGCGGTTTTTTTTGGATTTTGTATTGGAGGAGCTTTTAATATCGAACCTAGGGCTTATTTTCCTCATTCCAGACTTTGCAATTTCGTTTTTTTTACTTCTCAAACACAATTTTTACCTAGTTTTCATAGGATTTGTTCTTGGATTGTGAAAACACCAAGATTAGGCTTTTGGATTTGGATTGCTAGTTGTTTCTTTCGACATTGGATTCGTATTTATTCGTAAGCTTCTTTTTCATTTCATTGATGAATGTTATGGCTTTGCTTCATATGAATGTTGATGTTGAGTTAATGATGAGTAGCTAAATTTGTTAACTAGGGCTAGGGAATAATTGTTCTGGTTCGATTTTGTTTGTGTGATGTTGGTTACTCAATCTATTCGAGTTGTGTTAATCCTAGGGTTGAATGATTGATCATCATTTTAATCTACTAAATCGATTCTTAGAACCGAAAGGGGAGGAATTGATCCACTTAGGCTCGTTTAGAGTAGACTTATTCGGAGACGTATTGTCTCGTGCTAATTGATTCGATGATTGTTCGTTTATGTTTATTCTCTTGTTTCGTGAGTTATTGATAATGAATCTCCAAATGAATTGGTTTTTCGAGCCCTTTAGCCGAGTAGTTGATTACCCGTTACATGTATTGAGAACCGGAAACGATTGTCCCCGACGCCCTAGTCCTTTTTACAAATATTTGAATTTTGTATGAAGTTGTGTGATCGAAATTGTCTTGTTTGAGAATCAGTAGTGGTTAATCTAGTAGTTGATAATCGAAACCAATCAATTGAATTAGAGTGTTTAGGATTTAATTTCTCTTTTTGTGATTGAATATACGTACAAGATAATTCGGCCAACCTTCCTTGAGACACGACCCGGTGTTCAAATCTTTCGATTCTACTCCCGTAAAAATTACTACAACAAAAATGGCGTCGTTGCCGGGGAAGGTTTAGGAATTATCTTGTGCGCTTATTCTCTTTGTTTCTGTGTTTCGAATTGCTTCTCATCTTAAATTCAGGTGATTGTCCCTCATCTCGAGAACATAAGCTTCGGTAGGCAAGACACGTCCACCGATAGAAAGGCTAAGATTGGTTGCTTTAGCATCAGTTACCATCTTTCTTCCCGAGGCTAGACTCACCTCGAGAGGATCGACAGCAGGGTTAGTATGAACCCCAATGGCGTCAAGACATCGTCGTGAAATGAAAGAGTGTGTTGCACCGGTATCGAATAAAGCGAAAACAGGAACATCATTAAGTATAATCATCCCAGACATGGTACCTGGGTGTTGAGCTGCTTCCGCTTGATCGACTGCATACACACCTGCTGGTTGTCTCCCGCGTTGCTGTTGCTGAGGCTGTCTCGGTGGCTGCTGTCTGGGCTGCTGAGGTTGTTGAGGTTGTTGTTGTTGAGGTTGTTGTTGCTGTTGCAATCGTGGACAATTCGGTCGGATATGACCAGGCTGTCGGCAATAGTAGCAAGTGTTCTGGCCCATCAAGCAGTCTCCGCGGTGAATCTTTCCACATGTGGGGCAAGGTGGTATAGGTTGCTGCTGTCGCTGACGGTTCCTGCGGTCATCTGGGCCTCCCCTGTTCTTCCTCTTGTTCTTGTACCTCTGTTTTGGGGCGGCTGCGGGTTGAACATTTGGTATTGAGGATTGAGTGGAAGAAATCGGCTGAAGACGATCATGATTGGCTTCCCTTCGTATGCTGGCATCAATCTCCCTTGCAATGGTGACGGTACGGGCATAAGACTGAACTCCATGGCCGACGATGTTGTGACGGACTACAGGAATAAGCCCATCGATAAAACGTCTCGTCCTTGTTGCTTCTGTAGTCATCAAGTCAGGTACAAAAGCTCCAAGTCGAGTGAATTCTCGCTCATACTCGTCCACTGTCCGAGTATCTTGTTTAAGCGCCAAAAAGTGACGCTCCATTTCGACTTTGTAATAAGGAGGATAATACTTGTCACGGATTAACTCCTTGAACATGTCCCACGTGCATTTTTCTTTTTCTCCAGGACGCATACCCCAGTAGGCGTGCCACCAAAGTCGTGCATCACCGGTTAATTGGATTTGTGCGCACAACACGCGATAACGTTCGGGACAGTCCATGACCTCGAAAATCGTCTCAAGGCCCTGGACCCATTCGTCGACAATGCGGGGATCTCCCTGACCGGAAAACTTCTCTGGATGATAGTCGCGAAATTGTGCGACTACCTCGGATTGTGAAGGTTCACGATGAGCCGAACTTCTATGAGTCGACATCTGAATGTTGAAAGAGTTTAACATGATTAAGTATAAAAATAAGATACATTATCTGATTTATGGGACATACAAATTTCTTGACGAGTTATCAACTCTATCATGAATACTTTTAAGCTATAAACCCTGAACATGATTCGAGCACCTTAACTAGTCCATAACAGTGATTTCCATAACATAACTGAGCATAGGCATAGTAAATTGTTTATAATTTAAAGCATGTATCAGCACTTACCTGATAGCCGGTGGAGTGTGAACTTGACGTGATCGAATATCTAAAAATTTTTCAACTCTAAAACCATTCAGAGACGCAGAAACGTACTCTGATACCAACTGTAACGCCCCGCCCTAACTTAATTATCAGAGTGCGATTATAAGACATCTTTTTAAAATAGTTTGAGAAAATGATTCGGAGCGTTACTAAAACATTTATTTTATCTTTAAGAAATCCGTTACGACCGTTTAAAAATCTACAACAAAAACGGATTTACATAATATACAATCCGACTATAAAATCGGATTAAAAGTCAAAGTTTGTCAAACAGTAAATTCAGCGGAATATAGCGTGGTAAAATATACAACAAAATATTTAACTTCGATCCACCCGTCAACTTCACAGCTCCGGACCAACTTCATGACCTGAAAAATTTGATAAAAATGGGGTGTGAGTACCACTGTACTCCGTAGGAACTCATACTAAAGTAAACAGCAATAATAATAGTACATCATGATCAAAAGCATATAACATAACCGTGAATTTCCTGGTCAACAGTATAAACCGGACCGAGATCCGTGAATCTACCGGCTGCCATGATAATAATGATAATGATGATAACAATGATTGCCGGAATCCATGTGCACACACTAGTGGTAGATGACGCCACTAGAACTTAGAACGGAATTATGGCAACCTGAACCGGCCAACATCCATTCCAAGCGGAAAAACATAATTTGACTTATACTTTGAATATTTAGTGATCCCGAGAATAATATGAACATTACGAAATTAAGTACGTAATTTACATTAAGTCAAAATGGGCTTTTGTTTCTTTTTCTTTGTTTAGGTGTTAGTTCTTTGTTTGTTTCTGTTTTTATTTTCTTTCATCTATCATTGGTGCTCGTAACCCGTTGTTTGTTTGAGTGTATGCGTACCAGGATGGACGTAAACTATCTCCAACCAACAAACCCTTCAACGAGAGCCTGAGAGAGCTACTAGACGAGCTTACTCTCGAATCACACGAAGAAGGCGAGCATTCACCAGAATCATCCGAGGGGGGTAACTCAGACATGGCTGAACAACAACCGCCTCGCAACATCCTCAGAGACGTGGCCCAACCCATAATCGGGCCAATCACTTCATGCATCCGGTTGCCACAAGAAGCTGGGAACTACGAGCTTAAGATGATCCATTACAATCAGCTACCGTCTTTCCATGGTCTTCCAAATGAGGATCCGCTCCACTTCTTCCGGGAGTTTTACAATGTCCTCCAGTGGTTCCCTCTACACGGACTGACTGAGGACCAGCTAAAGATGCGGTGCTTCCCGGAGACTCTGAAGGACCGGGCTAAGGCCTGGCTCATGACCCTCACACCGGATTCTCTCACAACTTGGGCCGAAGTCTACTCGAAATTTGTCGGGAAGTATTATTCCCATCAGAAGACCCAAGACATTCAGTCCCAGATAGTCTCTTTTGCTCAACTGCCAAACGAGCCTCTTCATAAGGCCTGGGAACGATTCAAGGACCTCCAACGGCAGTGCCCACATCACAACCTCGCTCCAGGGCTATTAGCGAATTGTTTCTACGACTCCCTCCACCAGAACCTGCAGTTTATGGTGGATAACGCAGCCGGAGGGGATATTGGGGCCAAGACAGCTGAAGAGATGATCGTGATCTACGAGACGATGAGTGCCAACTCGTCTCAGAAGAGTATCAGAGGGAAGAGGTCCACAGTGAATGAGGTTGGTTCGAGTAATAATGCCATGGCCCAGCAGTTAGGCGAGCTCACAGAGCAGATGCGGCTACTGAATGCTCGAAGTTCCTCACCGATTCAGACGATCGCAGTAAATGCTTGTGGAGCATGCAGAGTACAGGGACACAGTTCTGAGGTGTGCCCTATGGCTCTCGAGCCAAATTATGGAGGGC